ACAGTATGCAACTTTCAGTGTTAAATGAGCTTTGAAGATCCAAATGTCAGCTGCACCATCTGACAGTGCCGAATGAGATCACTAGCTATTGGAAAACCAGCAGAGGTGTGGGGCTGATGTATGATCGGAATCAAAAATTGGGTCCATTTTTGGGTCCCAATATTGAAACTGAATGATTTTTATAACTTTCAACTCCATTTATGGTACTTGGTTATCTGTACGTGGACGAACGCTGCACTAAAATACTTCTGACAGTGTTTCCTGCAGTGCTACTGTGTCTACAGTACAGTGGCAAAAGAAATGACATTTGAGCTGAGTTGTCAGTTTTAGCTTGCAGTTTAAATTGACTGTGATGAAAGACTGGGTGCTGCAAAGTCATATAAAGATCATAAACAGACAATAAATTACTCTATTGCCTCACTCTCACTGGTTTAAAACCGGTTTGTTTAAATGAATCTGTTAAAAATACTACAAAAATCAGTCCTGAACATATGAGTTATCAGTCTGACCCTGCATTATAGCTCACTGGGAGCAGAAGAATATATGTTTATAAGATTATCATTGTTTAAATGAATAATTTAAAAAGACTCAAAAATCAGAACATACACTATTATAGTTTGGGGTCTGCAATTTTTTAAAAATGTTTTTAAAATAATATTACAACATAGAAATCATTTTAATATGCTGATCAATGTTGAAAACATTGCTGATCAAAGCTGAATAAATAAGCTTTCCATTGATGTATGGTTTGTTATGATAGGACAATATTTGGCCGAGATACAACTATTTGAAAATCTGGAATCTGAGGGTGCAAAAAAATCAAAATATTGAGAAAATCGCCTTTAAAGTTGTCCAAATGAAGTTCTTAGCAATGCATATTACTAATCAGAAATTAGCTTTTGATATATTTACAGATATATTTTAATATATCAACTGACAACAAACTTTTGAACAATACTTTAGTGTTATCAGTTTGAATCAGAGTAGCGACTCGCTGCAAACAGATGATTCTTTTGAACCAGTTCTTTTAAATGAACTGGTTAAAAATTCAGTCTGGATCATTTTGAATCCGTCTAACAAGTCACTGACTAAATGAATCAGTTATTCTGAACACTTATTAAGTAAAATGTACCATTACTACCCCTTTACAAGGGTGTATAAAGACAAGCCAGGTTGCATGAGGTGAATCTGAACAGACTGTGTGTGAAAATTACCTACAGAAATTCCTTTAAAAACAGTCATTGTATAATTCACAAACACGTGAAAATCCGTGAAAGCACGGGTGCTTTCAAGTGTCAAAACAGTTCATCACAGTTCATTCAAATGAGAAAAAAAAACATGAAATAGAAAGGTGCTACTTTTGCGAGCTGATGGAATGTGTGAGGACGTGAAGTTCACTGCACTTCTCTGTTTCCTCACTTCTGCATAGACATTGACATTCTGTTCACAAGCTTACAACAGTGGTTCACATCACACTGAGTCATGTCACACTATTTTTCCCAACTAGTATGCTGACAGAAAGACTTTTGGGGTGAAGATTATGTAGTAGGTTGTATTAAGCTGATGAAAACATACAAACCGAAACAAACAGCCAGGACTGTGCTTTGCTGTTGGTCGATTTAACAGAGTATTTAGGAAAGTGGTGTTCAGGAACGCTGTTTGGGGGCGGAATGCACCTGTGTGCTGACGGAGGTAGAACAGGGACATTATTCCAGACGTGGCTGACAGCCACAGCTGCCTTCCAGATGTTTATACATTATACAACTACATAAATGAAGTATCTGCTCCAATTAACCACAGTTTGCCATTGTCATTTGTAGTTTCAGAGGATTCTAGCTTTTTTTTATCACCCCAATGTGCACTTTCTCCCCCTGACCCTTTCTGCCTATGTCTTTCTGCCTATACAAGAGCAGCAATTGAAATGAACACATTTAAAGGAATAGTGTAGTCAAAAATGAAAACTGTGTAGTTGTTTTGCCCATGGAACACTAACCATGACATGAGGGTGAGTAAATAATGACAGAATTTCATTTCTGGCTGAACTATTCCTTTAATAAAACACCAGAGACCAAGCCTTTGGAGAGGCAGAGAGAGGACAGCTCATTCCACCGCTAACTGGGAATGTCCATGGCAGGGATTGTGTGCATGCCCAAGCATGTGAAATTACAGCCCCCTCCCCCATCACCCGTCTCCGTGACCCACCTGAACTTGGCCTGATCTACTCCCATACCAGCAGAAAAGCCCCACATCCTCATCAAAAACCGCTGGAGGCTGGAGATGATGAATAGGGGCGCTGGATCTATTAAATCCCTGTAACAGTTCCTTTTTAGCTCTTCAGATTCCCAGCACTCCCGGCATGCTTAGCAGTGAAAGACGACGTGCTAAGCTAATGTTCTCGCCACCGCAAAGCAGCTTTGACTGTAATCAGGGAATACAATATGTCACCCTTTTAAACACCATGTATGTAAGCCACTGAGAGCAAATATGAAAATACGTGAACCGGCAATTTTATCGGAACTGAGGTGTCTCTGTGTTCATAAAACTCAGTACCGTACCGTCCTGTCTAATCTTCCTCTACCACTGACCTTAACGAAATACATAAAAAAAAACTGATGACCATAAAGACGATGTGTCATCAAATATCTTCTTTCCTTTTACTGCAGATGTCAGCCTGTGTCTTTATCAGGATGCTCAATGTATTACTAACATTTGAAATATCTCCTTTCATTGCAATAGCCTTGCATAGACAAAAACGGACTTACATAAAGCTTGTGATGTTCACCAAGTATTGTTCAAAGGATCTTCTCTGAGGACACAGATAAAAGCGCTATATAAATAAAGGTGACTTGACTTGACTTGACACAGAGCAAATGAGAATACGGTGGTAACAGCGTTCTTTCAATTATTCATTATCAGATACGTTTCACATAGTCTAATCAGTTAGTTTTACAAATAATAGCACTAAATTAAATTAAAACAAAGTGCTTTTCTGTTTCATATGCTTAGAGAATACAAGATCTGAAGCCACTTGTTTATAAAGAAGTACTGCTCAACAAGCGCACAAAGTCATCCCTGTGAATTGATGAAACCATTTTTAAGAAGACTGAACTTGCTGTCTGAAAAGCAAGACCTGGAAACGTGCCACTTTGAAGCAATCAACGATGTGCCACTGTAACTGCAAATTTACAAAATGGACTCTTTAATAATGGTGCTAGAAAAACACTGTTCAAGTTATTAAATACCTGTCGTTTTTGTGGTTAGCAGAATTATCAACACCTCATAGCACTGTATGAGTAATTTTACACAGCGTGCTACAAGCTATAAATTATAGTGTACAGAAAAAAAAACTAAATAAAATAAATGTTTCTTTTTTAATTTGAAGTACTAAAACTGAAATAAAATAAAGCTAAATATAAAACTAATAAAAACACTTTATTATGTATTATTATATCTATTTTATTTAAAGCATATAACAAAATGACTAAAACTAAAAATATAATAAAAATATAAAAATGTAAAATGATAAAAACTGCTGAAATGTTCCCAAGTCCAGAGACGTAGCAAGGAGATCTGTAAAATAATCCATGTGACATCAGTGGTTCATCCGCGATTATACGAAGCTACGAGAATACTTTTTGCGTGCAAAAGGGAAAAAAAACGACTTTATTCGACAATTCGTCTCCTCCACATCACCCTGTAGCGCCATTTTGGAGAGTATCAGCTGGACGTAAACAACGTATGCTGTTCTGTGTCAGCTGCATCACACTGGATTTCCTACGTTGTTGTGATTTGATCTGAATGAAAACAGCGTATTCGTGTGACGCAGCTGACACAGAACAGCATACGTTGTTTACGTCCAGCTGATACTCTCCAAAATGGCGCTACAGGGTGATGTGGAGGAGACGAATTGTTGAATAAAGTAGTTTTTTTTTTTTGTGCACAAAAAGTATTTTCGTAGCTTCGTAAAATTACGGTTGAACCCCTGATGTCACATGGATTATTTTACAGATCTCCTTGCTACGTTTCTGGACTTGGGAACATTTCAGTTGTATTGCTGTCTATGCAGGGTCAGAGAGCTCTCAGATTCCATCAAAAATATCTTAATTTGTGTTCCGAAGATGAACGAAGGTCTTACGGGTTTGAAACGACATGAGGGTGAGTAATTAATGACAGAATTTTGGGGTGAACTAACCCTTTCAGTATCACCTCTGCTTATAAGCCACAATCTAATCCTGTTTACACTCAATAAACCTGAGCTCACAGAGCTGTTGCTATGATAACAACTCTGAGATGAACTTCGAAGAATGGAACAATTCAAGACCTGAGCGTCACATCAAGAATTAAATCGAGAGAACTCTAACTCAAACCAAATGATAAGATTTAACATAACAGCTGAATAATAAGTCAGTGCAAAACCACCAAAACTAAAATGCACAAAGCTGGAAGCACCTGTCTGTGACACATTTTAGAGTCCTCTATAGTTTTCTGCTCGTCAGACTCTTTTAAATGCATATAGCTCCACATAAGTGGCACAGCAGAATCTTTACCGGTTGACACACTGCTATCATTTCATGATATATACTGCCTTCCCTATGTCTTATCTTTATTTTTATTCAAAAGACCATGAAATTAAAACTCTCCTGCGTGCATCAAATGTGAAGATAATGCTCTCGGAAAAGATAGTTTGCTCTGTCTATTCTGTATGCAGCTGCTGTAATGAACTGTACACTTGTGAAACATCAGTTTGAAGCGTGTTTGTGCATGCGAATGCGTTCATGCGCGTATCTGTGACCTGCTTACTAATGCGTGGGAGCGTATGCTTAACAAGTCAATGCCTAATGGAGTGACTCATTACTAGTGATTTTTATTCCTATGACTGTTTAGTCAATTCAGAAATATTTAGAGAAAAAAAAAACAGCTTAGAGGTGACCGGAAACAACATCCGAATATCGCCCCGAGCTACCGGCGTACTGTATGCCGCTGGGAAGTGTGCGACTCACCGTCCATCCGCCCCCATCAGTAATCATGTCACAGAAGACCTGGAAGCCTTCGGGGTAATGTGTGGGGAACACGGAGTAGATACCATCCTCTCTTTGCCCGCTGGCATAGATGTCACTGCAATCCCTGGGTCTGGAACCTGCCAGAAGATACAACATGCCAGCATCATCAATCTACATTACATGCCAAGCCATAACTGCATCTGTTTTTTCATTTTTTGAGAAACCCTTTCGAGGTACGGCGTAAGACAAGAAAGCTCAAAGCTCAAATCTGTCATCTCACACCTGCTGTCTTAGCAGTGGCATGCCTCTTTCACACTGCTAGAAAGCTTATGAGGGAATAGGTGTGAAACCATTCTAGGGCTCATTAGGGCTGGTTGGAGACTTGAGAATATGTGGCTAATGAGGAGGTTTCTTTTTTTTTTACCTTCTCCACTGGTGCAGCCCTTGGGCCGGACGCTGTGCACCGGAGCCCTCTGCAGATCTGCCTTGAGACGGCTCTTGATGTTTCCGGTTTCCTTCTGCATGGAGCTAAGCGCGTCGCTCACAGAGTTCACCACTTTCACCATGTTGATCTGGCTCTCCGACAGCAGCTGGAGAGAGAGAAAGCAGGGGAAAGATTAAAGGACAGAGGATGACACACATGATCCATTTCTTTCACTGAAGCTCTTAAGAGTCACATACTCGCATGTTTGAATCAGCCTGACAAATCCTTTAGAGTACTAAAATGTTCGAGCCATATAGTGCAAAGTGAATCAATATATTTGTTTTGATTCACTTTTCAGGTTTGTCTATATACATAAATATATACACACACACACACACACACACACACACTAAATACTGTATATGTTGATGTTTAAAAAAGTATATTTGTATTATAATTTATAGAACAGAAACTGAAATATGGAAATAATCATTTTAGTATTGTTATAATTTATTATATTTATAGTTGAATGTTTTAATACTTTTTTAATTAAAATTAAAATCACTCATATTAATTCAAATATTTCCAACATTAAAACATGTTACCAAAATACTATTTTCAAATATATTGATTTATTTAAAAAAATTCTAATAAAATTCTAATACTATATATTACCATGTTTATTGGTTAAAACTATTCTTTATAAAATATAAATCATTATCATTATTATTACAACAACTATTACTTATACATTAATTTATACTTTTATACTTACAACATTAAACCAGGATCCCAAAATAGTATTATATTCTTTATAAGACTCTTACACTCTAAAAGATGCTGGGTTGTTTCAACCCAACTTTGGGTCAAATATGGACTAACCCAACTTTTGGGTTAAAAATGTAATGTAAAAATTTAACCCAATGGTTGGGTTAGTCCATATTTGACCCAAAGTTGGGTTGAAACAACCCAGCATTTTTTAGAGTGTATGCTCACCAAGGCTGCATTTATTTGATCAAAAATACAGTAAAAACGGCAACATTATGAAATATTTGTACAATTTCAAAGATCTGTTTTCCATTTGAGTATATTTTGTAATGTAATGTGGTGTTTTGGGTTGTGTTTCTTGTTCATGTTTTCATACTACACTTGCCTTCAGTGGACTGAATCGTTACAGAATACACGACAATAAAGGATGAACCCAGCAGTTTCACGCCTCCTCTGTCTGCGTCAAGGCAACCGGGCCATTGAGGATTATGTTCAAGACTTTTGTGGACTGTGCCATTTGGTGGATTTTAATGATGTGGCCCTTAAGGACATTTTTCGAGTGGGTGTCGATGAACCCCTTCGTTCAAGTTTGCCAGGGGGAAAGATTTGTTGGTCACTTGAAAAATACATAGACTTTGCTCTGCAGTTGAGTGGATCTGCTTTCACTGTTGGTGTCGTGGAGAAGGAACACGGCACTAAACCAGAACCAGAGTCTGCTCACGTCACGTCTGCTACACCAAAGCCTGCTAACGTCTTGTCTGCCAAGCCAGAGCCTGCTAATGCCATGTCTGCTACTCCAGGACCTGCTCACACCATGCCAGTTAAGTCAAAGTTTACTCAGGGCATGTCTACAAATTCAAAGCCTGATCAC